GAAAATCAATCAAATCGTGTCATTATTTTGTCGCAAAGAATTAAATATAAGATTTTATTCTCATTTGGTTTAACAGTATATTTATATATATCTCTAATGACTTCATATCCGCTATGAAATAGTACTATAAACTGATTCAACGATTCATTTAAAGCTATGGAAACAAAAACGTGTGGAAAGACACCGACGGAGGAGTCGGTCTAATACACGAAGAGTTCGGGGAATTTCATGGCGAAAAGCGGTGGTCCGACGGCCGCCGACCCGTTGCCGGCGACGCCCGCGGCGTACGACTCGACGCACAGCTCCTTCAGCGGGTTGTCGTAGATGTGCCACTCCTTGTGGGCGTCGGTGGCGGCGGTCACGGGTGGCGTCGGAGTGGGCGCCACCGCCAGTTCGTCGCCTCCCATACCGCCGATAACGCTGTCCACGCAGTCGACGAACTCGCTGTCCTCTGGGAGGCCCCCTTCGGACGGCGCCTCCGACTGGGGTCGCGCTCTGGCGTCGATTGTCTGTTGACTGGAATACTTGGCCAACGCCTCCAACAGCTTCTGTTGCAAGTCGTTTGACTGGAAGGGGTCGGGGGGAAGGGAGCGCACGGTTTAGTAGTTTTTTTTTTTAAAGGGACAGTTGGCTATAAAAATGGACACACCTTTCGCTCGTATCGGGCGATGAGGTCGTGGAACGAGGCGTTCCGGAACCGGTCCACGATCTGCAACCTCTTCATCTCGAGCTCGTCGTGTTTGGCGCTCAACGGCTCGTTAATTATCTTTCGCAACGACTCGAACGTAATCTCCTCTTCCGGTTGCCTCTGAAGGGAAAGGCATTCGAAACAAGATTATTGTCAAGAAATGATGGGTTAAACTGGGGGAGGGACGGGGGTGCTGTGGGGCACACATACTCGGGGCAGACCAGGCGACGAGTTGACGCTATCGACTTCGACGGTAATGGCGTTGAGATCGCTGATACTCCGGGTCATCGAGGCGTCGACTGTCGGCGAAATAGGCGCACAATTACTCATTGCAATCAAAACACAACCGCTTAAAGGGTGGGCTCTCATGGGCTCAGATACTGACCGACATGTCTGGGCGCGAAGGGCGTCAACAGTGCGCTGATGTCGTGTCCGCTGCTCTGAAGCGCTTCCGTTATAATCGCTTTATTGAACATCAATTCATCCATCAGTTCGTCGGGTGGGCTGACGGCAGGGCTCGCGTCGCTCACGTCCCGGCGCTGTTTGGCCAGTGGGGTGGCGGCCGACGACTTGGTATCGGCGCCGCGATGGCTGGCGAACTCCGGCAGAAACCACGGCGTCCTCTCGGCCCGCGTCTTGATGACAGTCTCGATGTGCGCACAAAACGCCGGAATGGCTATGAGGTCGCCCACCAAATGCAAGAACCCGGCGCACAGGCAGTGTATGGCCGACTTGTGGTCGTCGGTGAGCGGCGAGCCCTTGGCGGCGGCCAACTCCTGGACGGCGAGCGTCAGCCTCAACAGCTCCGTCAGCGTCTCCTCGCTGTTCAACTCGACGCACAGCAGGGCTAACGTGCCGTAAATGGCGGCCATATTGTCGCCGGTGTTGTTCGCCAGCTGTACGGACTCGTAGACGTGGAGCAGGAGCTCCGGGCCGTGCTTTTTCATGAACATCAGGTCCTGGCGGTCAGCCTTCCCTATCGTCAACGGGTCGGGCGACGAGAGGGACACCGCGCGGGACAGCTTCGGCAGGTTGTTGTGCCGGTCCAGCAGCTGATGGAAGATCTGTTGGACAGTGAGCCGCACGTTAGGGTCGGCCGCCAGCGAGCGGGACAGCAGCGGCTGCAGGAAAGCCGTGGGGAACGCCTGCGCCATATGCACCGTACGATACTTTGTGGTCACCTTCAGTAGACTCTTCAGTATAATGGTCTGCAACTGCGTGTCGGTGGGGGCGGTGGTGCCGGTGGGCGGCGCCGGCGGGGCCTTCGATATGATGAATATCATGATCTCGATCTTCTGATAGTCGGGCAGATTGTTGGCGAACTCGCCCAACGTGTGGATCACCATCTCCTGGAACTCCATCTCGAGGTCCCGGTGCCGGGCGTCGCGCAAGTGACCGATGGAGTGCCTCAAGTGCCGCAACAGCGAGTTAATCATCTCGAGGACGGAGGGCCCGATCGACTCGGACGCCGATATGGACACGATCTGCGACAACACGTTCACAATACCGGTGCGCACCTTAATCTGCGTGTCGGGCGGCATGTCCTTCGCCCGGCACACGTCGTCCAAGTGGGTCATCAGCATCTGTATGACGGCGTACGAGTGCTGCGCCTGTATTGAGTGCATTATGATCTTAAACGAGTGGACGGCGAACTCGTTCGGGTGGCGGGCGTTCCACAG